AGTTTTTAAGATTTCTTGCAATCTACTAGTTAGATTAGAGTGAAACTTGCATGAGAAGATATTAGACTTATTTTTCTATGTGCATTAGAATTTTGAAATCAATCGAACGGTGCAAAAGAGAGATATCAGCTCTGGAAGATTGGCATCAAGTTTGGATAAGGAGGTAGGCCAATATCCAAGTTTATTTTTGAAGTTATCATTGATTTGGTAACTCCGATCCTTTTCAATTTTTTTGTGCTTGTTTTTAACTTATTTTTTTAGAAGTGTGAAAAATTTGAGTTAAGATCAACGGTTTATTCATTAGTTATTGAGGTTTAAATCTGTTATATGAATTAGTAGGATTTGGTTTAGGGTTTAGGATTTGATTTAGGATTTAGGGTTTGGTTTAGGGTTTGGTTGGGATTTATTTAGGGTTTAGGATTTGGTTAGGATTTGATTTAGGATTTAGGATTTGGATTAGGATTTGATTAGGATTTTATTTAGGATTTAGGATTTAGTTAGGGTTTGGTTCAGGTTTTAGGGTTTGGTTTAGAGTTTAGGATTTGGATTAGGGTTTGATTTAGGATTTAGGATTTAGTTATGGTTTGATTTAGGATTTAGGGTTTGATTAGGGTTTGATTTAGGATTTGGTTAGGATTTGGTTTAGGATTTGGTTGGGATTTGGTTTAAGGTTTGTTTAGGGTTTGATTCAGGGTTTAAGATTTTATTAGGATTTAAGATTCAATTAGTTTTGGCCTAAAGTTTGAATGAAGTTCAATAGGATTTTAACTAGAATTAAATTAAGATTGAATTGAGATATATTTGAGTGATATTTGTGATCCTTCTGATATTTCTTTAAGAATTCTTATTGTTTGTTTGAAATTTCTTTGAGGTTTTTTTGAATTTGATTAAGCTTGCTTACCATTATTATGGTCTAATTAGAGCATTGTTAGTATTCTATTAGAATTAGGATTTTGTTGTTGCAATTTCCATTCTTCCTTCCACAACCAGGTGCTCGGAGCATTCTCAAGCAAGACTTCACGTATTACGACACCGCAAGATTGCTATTGAATACAAGTTCATTGTGATGATGGAGAGTTAATGGCTGCTATCATGGCCATCACTACATTAGGATTAGATAATATAGATAGAAAATGGTCAAAGATCAAAGTACTCATCTCATACAATAAAGACATTGTGGGAGCCTTGTTAGTTTGTAAAAAATTATTGGTACTCCAATGAGGATTATAGATTCAATGCTTACTAATGTCCATAATAGAGATGTAGTGCTCAAGCAATATAGGTCAGTCAAATAGTAAAGTTGTCATGTAAGGGACACTCAAATGTACAATCAAGTTGTTACATTGAATTGATAAAATTGAACTAGATAAAGTGGTTATTTATAATCAAGGCGAGCTAGCATATTCACTATTTATTAGATATGATAGAATAGCGATGATCTACAACCAATTTAGATTGTGATTAAAATAAATTACAAAGACTTGTGGCCCTATTGAGGTTGATGTCATTCTTCTAAAGAGATGTCTTGTTGGAGCGAAGGTTGTTGCTTCAAACCTAATAAGGATTGAAGAAGTGGTATTTGGTTGCTCTTTAACAACTATAAGATTGACAAGCATTGATGGTAATTATCTTGTATATTAGATGAAGATAGTATTAGTAAAATTTCTTCATTTAAAGAATATAGATTATTAAGTTTGGAGATTGTTAAATAATTAATCTCACAAGTCTATGATGATTTACTATTAGTTATACATACATTATTTATAAACTTAATTTTTATATGTCTAATTTTAGTTATTTGAGCTATTTATAAAAGTTTTTTTTTTCAATCTTGGAATATACAAAATATTTAAAATTTATATATATTAACCAAATTTGAATTGTAAGTTAAGAAATCCAATACCTTGAATAATATGTGAATTTTTATTTCCTAATAAAACAAATTTTAATGTGATTAATGGACTATAATTTTTGAAAAAGTGTTTCAAATGAGATATTTGGTTGCTCGCTCTACAATCTAGATATCATAGTTGATCAAGAGTATTAATAAATATTTCTATAAATAAGTATAATGGTGCCTCAATAGCGTAGGATCTTATAAGTTTTGATTAATTCATTTGATTTTTTTTATTTCTTATGACATTCTAAGAATTTATTTTCTTACTTTTCATAATAATGGTAGATACTATTTTTAATTGGTTGATTGGAATGTAAAGAAAAGATTGGATTAGAATAATGTTGTTAAGAAGAGGTACCATTCAAGCTTGGAGTATTTGTGGATTTAATATGCGTAACAAATTTTTCTTTGATATAAAATGAATTCGTTTTTGAATTGTCATGGTTTCAACAATTAATAGTTGTTTGTTGTAAGATATTAGGTGGTAATGTTGAAAATATTAATTCATTAATTCTACCTTATATAGCAATTAGTGCATTCCATGAATCATATAAAGCAGCTAATAATAAATTTAATTGTTGTAATTTAATGAAAATACAATCAGCAATGGCAGCTTCTTCAAGAATATATTATCAATTTTCAATGAACGCGTGAACATCTTCAATGTCATCTATTGTTTAGTAGTAAAGCTTCTTATGGAAATGTATCTAAGAAGCTTTATTTAATTGTTAGTATATATGCTTGATGTGATTCCAAATTGCCTTTGATATAGGTAGTTTGCATAATGTCATGAGTTGTTTATCTTTATAATGTACAAATATTTTTGTACTGGTTTTTATATCCTTCAAATTCCAAGCATGATGTTGCACCAAATTACTTGCATTAGCTGCAGCTTCAATGCCATTAACCACTTCCCATAATTCCACTCAATTCAAAAGAGCATCCAATTTAATACTCCAAAAGTAATAATTATTTGCAAACAATGAAGGTATTAATGGAAAGCAAGAAGTATTATGAAAAGCCATAGTAGGTGCAATTTTCCACTTATACTAAAAAGAATGAAGGAAAATTAATATCTGATACTATGTAAGAGAAAGAATACTAAGAATGGTAAAATAACATATGAAGTATATTAATAAAATAACTTGAATACATTGCAATAATAAGAGCCTTATATATTGTCTTGTGGAGAGAAGTAACTTCTGTGTAATTACTTTGTAACTACCTAATAGTAATTCTATATTTACTAACATGCATTAATTAATCTAACATGTATTAGTAAACCTAACATATTGGAGGCGGAGCATAGCTTCATCGGAGGGAAATTCATTGACGCCAGCTTCTCCATGTGGGGGGAGTAGTGTGATTAAGGCGAGACTCAAAGAGATCACTGGCGTCGCCAAGCAGGGAGGTGCAATACTGTGAGACTCGGTATATGCCTAGGGCTTGGTATGCTTCGGCTACAGTGGTAAAATCGCAAATGAAGGCCAAGTAGTCGTCTCCAAGGGAGAATTTTCCGAAGGATAATGCTGGTAGTTTGCCCAGATCTACTCGGGAAGGAGAGTTGCGTTTCAAAAAGGAGGGAGCGGTTCTGGATATGGGTGTGACGACCTGTGCTGATCTGTGAGGTAATAAGATGTCCATCGCTGCCATGACAGGCCGCAGCTTGTGAAGCACTTAATCTTCGAGGAGGAAATCAGCAAGCTGTTGTGGGGTCATGGATACCAATAGCTCGCGAAGGTCTGCCGACGTCTTCGCCGAGAGAGGGGATGACTGTGCTTCGGATGTTGATGCCAGTTGCGCTACTTCGGATGTCATGGCTGTGGCGAATCCCTTGGTGGTCGAGTAAGCTGTTAATCGAGGGCTGGTAGCACCTGCAAGTGCCCGAGATACTACAAGCTTTTCAGTTTTGAGAGGAAGATGTGACATGGGGGTGTATCTTACCAAAGATGCTTGAATGCTGGTTCTATAGTATGGGCGTTCCAATAATTTCGTGGGAGTTCGACATCTCCAAGCTGATATGTTTTTTGAATAACGCCGTACCCGCTTCGAGAAGCCTTCGTTGGTGCATTGCCAAGTTATTACACAATGATGCGCCCGTTCTTCCCTGAAGGATAGCAGGATGTCATATAACCCAAATGCGGCGTGGTTGTGATGACCCACGTCTCAGTTGCTGGAGAGTAGCGGGTCGGCAGTGCCGGGAATCATGCTGAAGTTACCCAGAGGAATCCACTTTCGAGGTCGAGGGAATGTTGCCGGACGTTGTTCCGTGAGAGAAAAACTTCTGTGGATTTGATGTAGATGATAGCACAGCGTGCTACTGAGCAAATACAGGATGGTATTCCTGACAAACGGTTGATTTTTGCTGCCGAGAAATCATCCTGATGAAAGATTGGTACTTCCACCAGGATGCTAATGTCGGTGGGGCGTAGTACCCTTGGTCCGGACTGGTTGACGCTATGCGGTTTGTTGGTGGTTGAATGGGTCTTCTGTGCGCTTGCGGCTAGCTCAGGGATAGAGCTCTGTGCCAAGCCTGCCTGATTCAGAGGCAGCGTGGACCTCTGACCTTCCTCAATGCGATCTTCTCGTTGTGCCGATGAAATTGAAGCATCAATATCCAATGTGCCCAGAGGCCACTGCTTACCGGTAGCAGGGGGCGGCCGCGTTGAGTTCCCCGACAGTGTGGCACTCCCTCCTTCACCGTCGGTCGTACTAAGTTGCTGGATTTCGTAAGCTAACCGTTCGTCGGAACCCTGAGATCTTCCCAACGATTCCTAAACCCTCTGGCTTAGGGTTTTCCTAAAAGCCATCGAAGCGATACATATTGACAGGATTCTCCCCTTCTGTTCAAGGTCCTGAGTTTCTGTGCGTTCCCACGCATGCAGAGTACCCGGCGTCTCCACCAAAGAATTGGTCCGTCACGATTCTAGTCCTGGCCAATCGGGGAAGACTAGTTGGAGCGAGCTCGATGCCACGCATGGGCCTGGGATCTCCCCAGAGGTACGCTGCAGATCGGGAGCAGATCGACTCGGCAACGGAACAGTGGAAGTGCGTGGAAGAAAACATGCAAGATACCAAAATGATACGTAGCCTAGACTCAATGAAATACACCCCAATACCTGCCGCGGTAACTCGAGCAGTCAGTTTTTATAAAAGTGAGGGCCCGCGTGATGCTCTCGTTTGGTCCTATAAATGCGGTTTGCATACATTTCAATTGGGCGGCACAGGATTTGTGCCAAGCCCATTTCTTATCTCTACATTTCTACTTTCGCCCTCGTCCCCCTCTTCCACCACCTCGTCCACCTCTTGATGAACCTCTGCCACCTCTTCCACCACCGCTGCCACCTCTACCGCCACCGCGTCCACTTCCACCACCACCACCGCGTCCACCCTTACCTCCACCTCGTGCGCTTCTCATTGCCTTCTTTTGCCTCTCTTTACGCACCTCCTCCACGCCACGAAGTTCGTTCTTCACATTGGCGTTGGGTAAACTTCCACGACTATCCCCACGACTAGATCCACGGCCTCCTCTCCCGCCCCTCCCGCCTCTGCTGCTAGTGGGTGCACCATCCAGAGCACCAGGGGCGTCATCTGCTTCACCATGAGTGGGAACATGCATATGAGAACGCTCTTTCCATTTCTTGTAGAGGCCATGGTTGCCTGCATTGACCTTAGAACCACTTTCAGTCTTGATCTTTCCAGAAGCTGTGACTTGCTCCCCTTTGTTGAGTTTAACAAACTTCTTGTTCTTCTTATCCCAATGGTATGTAGCGTTCTGTTTCTGCACCCCGGCTGCATCATCTGCTATGAGGTCCAGCACTTCAGTATCCATTCTGCTACGACCAAAGCCATCACCACCTTGAACCGAAAGACCCGCCTCCATGTGCCGGTTACGTGGAACAGCCTCTATGAAAAACTCTTCGTCTCTGTAGCTTTTAGGGATAAGCTTCTGTTTGACATCACTGGTGTCTTTCGCTCCCTTCCGCCTACGTTTCATGGTTGGCTGCTCCTCAGCTGTTGCTTCAGTCGTATCTTCACGACTCTTTTCGAAGGCTTTGGCAGCTGCACGTTGTTGAGCGGCAGCAGCGATAACATGTTCATGCACCTCCCGCTTTCGCTTCATAATTTCCACCACTTGCGCGATCGGCACATTTTTATTCTTGCCCTTGGCAGCTTCAGCCTCCGCCTCCAATACTGTCTGCCTTGGCCTGATGGCCTTCAACCGCTCGGTAAAAGCAGCAACTTCTGCTTCTACGTTCCGCAATTGCTGTCTCAAGGAAGGATGAAGACCTTCACGAGCGAAACCCTTCGCACGTTTAGCAGACTCTAGAGCAGCGGGAGGCCGTGTCTTGACGTAAAGCTTGTATGCGTTCTTCGCTGCCTTCTGAAGACCGATGAGATCATCATTGTTTGAGATAACCTCCCTCAATCTATCCATTCCAAAGTCGAGTACCGATTGAGGCATTCGCCCAAAAATCGTCTCTCCTCTCTTTGAGGCAGCTTCCAAGTCAGCCATCACCTTTTCTCGATCTGCCACTATAGCTTCCTCTAACGGTGCCGGGCGTATACCTTTAGACAGGTACAGATGTAGGTCGAGAACATACGGCATCTCTTCCGATGTAACAAATGAGTATGAAGTTCCAGTTCGCCCCGCACGAGCCGCACGTCCTACTCTATGAACGAAAAGCTTGGGCTTCGGAGGGAAGTCATAGTTAATAACATTGTCTAAAAGAGGAATATCAATACCTCGAGCTGCAACATCCGTAACCAGAAGCAACTTCGTCTTCCCAGCACGAAACTTTGCAATGTGAATTTTACGCGCTGCTTGGTCCATAGAACCATAGACAACGGATATGTCGATGCCCTCAGTTTTCAGCAACTCGTACAGAAACTCAACGTGATGTTTAGTAGCAACAAAGACAATCGTTTGCTGCTCAGCTGGAATCACTTCCCGCACTAAATGAACGAGAGCAGCTGGCTTTTCGTCATGGCGAACAGTGAAAAAGGACAGCTGCAAGTCCGGGCTTATTCTACTTTCCACATCAAGACGAACTAAGTGCGGATCTCTTAAGCCTGCTTTGGCAAAATCTGCTAGCAAACGTGGCAGAGTCGCACTAAACAAGAGAACTTGTCTGGATTCTCCTAAATGAGACATGATTTGTCGAAGTTGCTCAGCGAATCCCATCTCAAAGAGCCGGTCCGCCTCATCAAACACAATATATTCAACAGTCCGCAGTGACATTCCTTCAACCTCAGAAAGATGGTGCATAAGTCGTCCGGGAGTTGCAATGATCACATCAGGATTACCTGCTAGTTGTTCAAATTGCGCCTCCATGCTATCTCCTCCCACCAGAATTGCGATCTTCAAATCAGTGTACTTGCTAAGCTCCTTACAGAACTTAAATGTCTGTAGCGCGAGCTCTCTAGAGGGAGACAATATAACAGCTCTAGCCCCAGCGTTGTTCGAATGCTCCACCAGCTTCTCAATCATCGGAATCAGAAAGGCCGCCGTCTTCCCGGACCCCGTCCGGGCCATAGCCACCACATCGTAACCCGCTAGAATAAGCGGCAAGGTTTTCCTCTGGATTGGAGTGGGAATCCTATACCCTTTGCGCTTCACAGCACGAAACACAGGCAGACTTAACCCTAAAGTCTCAAACCCCCCTGATTTCTTCTTCTTCTCCAACTTCTTCTTCAACTTCAGCTGTGTTGCAGACAGACTCTCCTTCATGTCGAATTCCTGGAATCCAGCGCTCGGGTACTCCATCGCCTCAACCCCTTCCATATCTTCTTTTGGGAAATCCATCTCTAACAGCACAGTCACACCCTAAACCTTAACCAATTTCTTCTTCAAAAAATCCTCTCAGTAAAAAAATCCTCAACACAGCTTCAATTCCAACAATGAGAAACGCTGCCCACAAACGCCGGAAGGGGCTTAGAAGAACCCAATTGAGCACGGCCCTTCTTTCTCAGTGCGCTTGAGCGCGCGCAGCAAATCAGGGTTTAAGCACAACCCCTTCACTAGCTATCAAGCCCAACAAATGGATGATTCCGATCCTCATCCATCCACCGGAGAGGACATCAAAAGGGAACTGCCCACACACGTCGTTGATTCGAATGAATGTGTTATATTTTCATCTACGTGCTCGGTCCCGGAAACCCTAAATTTGCTTCGAAGCTCTTCGGAATCCAGACTACGTGAATACGTGATTTCAGTGGCAATCGTCACCATCGTCACAGCCAGAATTCGAGGGGTCAAGTTTCAGCGATACTGAGTTCGTATGGTTATGGTCTTATTCCTGTGGTGTGGAGGAGCATCAGAGGTGAGGGAAGCCTAGGGGGAGAAGCAATGGCACAAGCCTTTGGAGGTAATAGAGGCTTGCAACCGATTGCTCCTGAGAAAGGGGTGTTCCCGCTGGACCATCTTCAAGAATGCAAACAGGTAGTGAGACCCTTCTGTCTAGATTCTGTATCGGATCTCGTGAATTTGTGGGCCTGGGTGCTTCCTCTATTTTGTCTTCTTTCAAGGACTGTCCCACCCTAGAGTAGCTTTGTGGAGGCAGAGTGAAATTTGCATTGTTTTTTGCTTTTGCGACAAGGGGAATTTTGATTTGTGATGAGGCCCTGTTTTCTTTTTCGATTGTTTTCTGGAGTGAAATGTGGGTCTTAAATTGTAGTAGAGGATTTCGGTACTGGGTGTGCGTTTTTATGTTGGTGTCTTGTCATGATTCCATTTATATAGATAGTTCTGTGAAGATGTGTTAGTTTGTTCGTTGGCGTACATTTCATAGTACATTATGGTTTCGATTTTTTTTCTGGATTTAAACAATTCCTATCTATTCTCTTACTTTTTTTTTTTAAATCTATGAAGTTTTGGAAAAGCAAACTTGAGGACGTTTTTCCGAGTTTTTGGATGTTGAATTTGATGTGCAGGCAATGAGAGAGTATATGCAATGCTTGAAAGAAAGTAAGTACTCGTCTGAACGGTGCCGGCAACTTTCTAAAGCATATCTCGAGTGTCGCATGGAACGGTAACTGTCCTAAGCCGTATAATTCAATTTCTTTGCATCTTCTTGAAGTACTGATACCAATTGTTAAGTCCAAAACTACCTTGTTTTTTTGAAGCTCATGTAGTATCATGTAGTTGATAGCCTTGGACACTTCGTCCAGTTCATCCATTCACATATTTCACTATTTGAAATATGGCTCTGTTCCTCAGTAGTTGTGAGGGCCATTAGCATGCTTCTGTCTATGTACCTGTACCAGGCATACGCATGTGAGGTTGCAAATCTTAATTGTCTGAGAGTATGTTGGAGGAAGCCAGGACATAAGGTTAGCGAGCAGATTTCGTTTTCCAAGGTTTGTAAGGGAGGAAATATGTCACGTATTTTTCTGCTCAAAGAAACTCTTGAACAGGGATATTTTATTTGGGGTTTCATCCCATTGTCTTGCAGGAACTTGATGGTGAAGCAGGACTTGAGCGAGTTAGGGTTCAAGGAACCGAGCAAGGACCCTCCAAAAGTTGAAGCTGTTGCCCGAACAGCCTCGGTTTGATCATTTGCGTTCTAGTGTGTCAGGAGAATTTGTGGCATCAACTTTACTGAATAGGTAAATCTTTGTCTCACAATTAACATCGCCTCTAGTTCCTTCGTTCCGTCTTGTAGCTTACTATTGTGGCTGCTAACTGTGCTGTTATGCACACGCCTTATTTTTGACGGCAGTGAAGTAGCCTTTCCAAGGATTCTCTCACCTTCGTATTTGTAGACTATGCTTACACCCAATATGTTTCTTGTTTTCGTATGCAGATTCTTATCGTAGAAGATTTGGAGTTATTGCGGCCGACATTGAAAATTGAATATGAGCTTAAACAATTTTGCTTGAGTTGAGAATTTGAAGGAACAACCATTCATTCCTTGTGTTATTACTTTTGATAAAGACTTACTGTGCACCCAGTCATTCTACATTGCTTGCCTTGCTCTTATGAGTGCCCACATGCAATTCTGTCTTGGATATATGCAAAATAATGGTGACGATTGCCAGTGTACTCAGTGACGAAGTTCTCAAATTTGTTGCTCTCCAGGGAAGTTGTTACAATGCTTGAACCCTCGGTATCACCATATGAGGTGGGTAAATAAGAGGACTGCTGTAAGTTCCTTCCCCATCCCCTCCTTGGCCTTGCCTCTTAACAGTATGACTTTTTGATCCCTTCATAATAGCCTTGTTCTCCCATGTTTCCATCATCTTAGATATCGGATGAGACATTTCTCACATCATAGCCTTGTTGGCCTTGGTAGAATTCTGCTTTCAGTTTGAGGTTTGTGATATTGGAGAACGGTAAATATTTCTCACAATCAATATCAGGGTCCTGTATTTAATCTCCATTTTTCATTTGGTATAAAATTTATTTTGTATTTTTATATCAAAGAGTAATGTACCCTTAGAAACTGAGTAATTTAATTGATGTATGTTGCTTTTAGATCCATTTTAGTTCTACTTCACTTAATTAGAAAGTATACGCTTCTCATCTCTTTCCTAATTTTTTAATTCTTTTATTGATTCAAAGTGACACGGTTGATGTGTTCGGTATTTTACTCGCAACTGACGATCGGAATACAAGTATAATAGAAGGGAAAAATGACTAAATCATTAGAGTAACTATAAAACAATGCTAAGTCAAAGTTGCTTTCAAAGAAGCAACGTTTCATGTGGCGAAAAAAAATTGAATATTCTGTTTTGTTGGTTTTTTTATTCACTATGAGAAAAAAAACACTTAATTATAAGTTGAACATATTCTTATTGATTTTGTGAGCATCTTGTTGCTGGCAACATGTAATTAATACCACTTCAAAAAGAAACGTCCTACAAAACACGTATAGATTCACTGTCGTCATTGTGGTTATTGATTAGTTCCAAACCTCACTTTCGGCAATATACTTTTCCTTGTCTTTGAATCACTCAACCATTTGGTGACACATCATGAGTATACAGGGCCACTTTCTGCTGAATCTACCTAACTGAATGTCTGTTTACTCCCTGTGGTCCATGAAGTGAAGGAAACGGCTGTTGATAGAAGACGGTCTCATAGAATACAGGATCTGCGTTCCCGTCGCTCACGTCATGCCACAAAATCAACACGGTCAGTGATGTCGATGTGCAGAAAGACGAGCAAACAATCTAGTGAAATCTGGAATTACCAAGATCTTTTGCAGTGCGAACGAAAATAGGAAAGTTAACTCTTGCGATAGACCAAGTTCATAGCACTTGTCTTCTACAGCATCGAAGCCATGAAACAGGAGAAGAGCATATGCCAAAAACGAGTGGTTGTTTCGATTATCTTACAACAGATGATAATTTTACGCGTGGGTTCCTTCGATGATAACTCGTATCCAGATGCCTTGAGCCCTTCTTTACCTCTGCACAAGACTTAGTGATTCTTAGAAAGAATCTGGACTAAGAGAGGACGCAGAGAGCAATCCCTGAGATGATACTCCGATACATTCACCTATTGAAACATAGGATTGCAAATATTAGATAATTAGCTTTTGGATTTTGGAGAATGTGGAGTCAGTTGATTCTTCTTGTGCAGTATTCATATATTAAGTTTGCAACGTACAAGACTGTTCAAGCTTTGCAATTTTATCGAGTGCAGGAACCATGTGTTACAGTGTGGATTCAAACAAAAGAATTTCATGTTCACGGAATGAATTTTGAACATTTTCATCTTGATTGGCCTGACCCACCCGTCTGAGTTAATCATGTTTGGAGTTACTGAATATGCGCTGTGGGACAGATTAGTTTCCCCTATTCGGTGCGGGAACTTGGGCAGCACGCAGGCATTTTTTGCAGCCTACTACGATCAGAATTTGATCTTACTCAAGAGATAAGATTTCTAGAATCATGCCAAGAATGGTTCACAGATTTTTGTTTCATACTCAGTGTGAGAGTAGGTTTCAGACAATGTTCCTACATTTCTGGATGAAAAAATGCACGGATATTGTATATATGTATATATATATATATATATATATACACTAAAGGTGTAATTTCTACTTGTACCATCTTCTACCAAATATCTTAGAAATAATAATAAATTAATAAATTGCATCTTTAAATGCAGTATGTGATTCTTCGTAAACCAGAAAGATTCCTCACAAGGGGTTTCTCACTGTGCTTCAAGTGAGGAGTACTATATTTTCACAATCCAAAGCGTGCTACTGGAACAGGGAAAAAAAACATTTACTTCGGTGTATAGTGAGTTGCGGCTTCAAAGAGTTGTCGTTTCCATTCGTCCAGTTTTCATGGGTTTTAGATGGTTGGGTGTGTTGATGTTCTTTGGTTTTTTTTCAGTACACTACTGATTATATATATATATATATATATATAAATAAGGTGTTGTTAATGCTATAGTGGTTTTTGCTTCTGCCACAGCAATTTGCCATTTATCACATGCCATCACAATTATTTTTTTAATGTTATAACAGTTTTTTAATGCCATCATTGGTGTGGCATAGCACAAGTGAAAGTTATCATGTTTTATAAAACATTAAAATATACATAGAGTACAATTATGGTATACAAAAAAAACAAAAATTGGGATGGAATGTTGTGGATGACAAGATGTGATGTCAGTAACAAAACTATGATAACAATAACAAAACTGTGGTAGCATTCCCAACATCTTATATATAATATACTGTCAGCTGATGCAATCATCTAAACAAACAAACGAAAAGTTTGTTACAAAGTTTGAAGTTGACCATGCCTTCTTTACTCGATCATCAGCTATTCCTTCTTATCTTCTCAACAAAAAAGAACAACATGAAAAAGATCTCATGTATATTTGTGACATAAAAGCACAAAGAAAGTGTTATAATTGCCACAAATTTGGGCACTGGCTCGCTAATTGTCTTAAGCCAAAGCGAAAACGACCTGATTCTCACAATTTAATCACACCGTCATGTGATTAGCCGATTACTACTAATGACAACTTCCCTAATCAACGTTTATATCCGAAGTTCAAATCTCTTGAATTTTTGATGAATTCTACACTGATCATCTCATCATCTTGACATTCTCTTCAGCAAACCACTGAAGACCCTTTATCTGATCCAGTTCCTTCTTCATTAACTTTTATTGAATTTGCTGCTCTTCTTGCGACAGTGGGAGACATAATTCTGAACCCCAAACATATCAAGAAGCTTTTCTTTCCTCTGACTCATTATCATGGAAAGCTGCAATGGATCGAGAATACGCACCTCTCTTGGAAAATCAGACCTGGCAACTAGTTCCAAAACCTCTTTATTGAAAACTCATTTGTAATAAGTGGGTTTATAAGGTTAAATATCAACCTAATGGCGAGATCGAAAAATTTAAAGCCCGGTCAGTTGCCAAAGAATTTACTCAACAACTTAGTATTGATTTCAAAGAAACGTACTCACTTGTTATATGCTATGACTCAATTCGTGTTATCTTTGCAATAGCAGCTGCAAAATAGATGCACATTGAAGAATTTGATATCAGTACTGCTTTTCTAAATGGAGATTTAATTGAAGAGATTTATATGGTCCAGCCACAAGGGTGTGAAGATCCGACTAAACCGACTCACTATTGCCGTTTGTTAAAAAGCATTTATGGGCTTAAACAATTTGCACGACAATGCAATTTACGAATTTCTAATTTTCTAAAATAATTTTGACTCATAGCAAATGAAGCTAAGCCATGTGTGTATTGCAACCACGGTGAACTTCATACACTCATCGGCATATATGTAGATGACGGAACTATCATATCACTCTTACCGAAATGTATTGAAGAAATTTCGAACTACCTGAAAACAACATTCAAAATCACCAGTGGTAGTATGGACTATTTTGTTGGTTTCCAGATTCAACAATGTCCAACTTCGGGGTCTTTGTTTCTACATCAGCATCGATATATCAATGACATTCTCCTGCATTTTGGCCTACAAGCTGCTCATGAAGATTCAACTCCTACCGATATTTATACCAAGTTACAGAAAAATCAAGATCCAACTGATCTTCCAGTTGCCGTCCTATATTGACAATCGTTAGGTTGCTTAATGTATGTGGTGATAATAACTTGTCCAGATATTGGATACATTGTGAGGAAAGTATCACTCTTTCAAGAACCCCCCCCCCCCAAAGCCATTGGATTGCCGTGAAACGCATCTTTCGATACTAGAAACAACTCAAGATTATGATTTGTATTATCATCTCCAAATAGCACCACCTAGTCTTATTGACTACTGCGATGCAGATTTTGGTGGAGATCTTGATGACAGGAAAAGTTGATCCAGCTTTCTTTACACTCTCGGATCCACTGCAATCACGTGGGGCAGTCACAAACAAACTTGTCTTACCACATCAACAACCATCACTGAACTAGTTGCCTTTGCTGAATCCATTTGCGAGACCACTTGATTGTGTCGTTTCCTTCATTCACTAAACAACCCTCAAGATCTTTCCACAACTATTTATTGTGATAATCAAGCAGCTCATGCTTTAGTCAAGAATCCAGACTACCATCGCCAAACCAAACACATCGACATGAAATATTTTCTTATCCGTGAGCACTATGAATAGAATCTAATGGATTTCAAATATATTCATTTTAAAGATCAAACAACTGATATACTTACGAAACCTCTTCCACATGACGCTTTTCAACGACTATGCCATTTGATGAGTCTCAGACAATTTGAGAAGAATGAGTGGGAGGAACACAGGGATTTACATTCTTCGTAGAATGTGTCAGGATGAGTGGGAGTGTTAAATGAACATCCATACACATTCTGCTTTCGAGTTTCATTTATCACATAAAGGGATCTGGCTCATAGCTATTTGAATCGATGTTCATAGTGTCACTGTAGTTCGATGTAGATTCAGTTATAGAGTGACTGTGGAGAGAGATCATGAGGATGTTAAGCTCCTATGTTACTAGAGAATTGTCTACAAGGAACAAAGATAAGCTTGATACATCTATATATATATATATATATATATATACTTACTGAAAGAGACTAAGATATCTGATACTCCCAACAACTATTCCCATGAGGAACCATTTTCTCGGGAGCCGTGGAAACAGATGGTTAAAAGGGCTGCAGATTCGGAGCCCGCACGCAGGCTCTCTGATCATTGTATTGTCCCTGAACTGCTTGCTTGCGTCCCGATGGCGACATCCATGACTTAAATCAGCAGCTTTTTTCCTGATGGAGGTCAGTTCCATCGCCGAAAGCCTTGCGCAAATCACTCGTGTGGTAAGCTTGCACTGTGTATATAGTGGTCTTCTGCACGTAAAACCCTGCTTACTAGTCCAAAGTATGCTCAGCTTCACTGTGAAAATCCATGCTTCGATAGCTCCAGATTGTAGAATTCTAGTGTCGATCTCAGTGGCGGTGGTTCAAAGAAACGGGTGACAACTTTCGTCGATGAGCTCCGGCGCAGCTTCAGCTTGGAGCGCCATCGCGACGGCTACCGGGTTCCGTTCACGGTGACATCGGTGACACCCACCGCACCATCACTCTCCTTCCCCTAAAGGTGTGCTTGCTCTGTCTCCGTGGATGATGTAGTGCCGGTGAAGACTATGCTTGGTAGATTTCAGTTTCAAATGTTCAATTTTCACTACGTATGAGTATTGTTGAGGCTCGATTTATTAATGACATATTTTTATTGTATTTTATTTTTTATTCATATTTCTAGAAAGTAAAAATTTCAGCATTAATATTTTGTGATATATTTTCATTCAACCCTTCTTTTCCTTTTTTTTTGAAAGTGTATGAGGTTGTTCTTAATAAAATGTTACTTGATAATAATGCTTCAATAGAAGTAGAAAGGTTTTTTTATTTTTTAAAAAATAATTGATATTATTAATAGATTAATAAAGCATTATAAAAGAAACAAAAAAAAAAAATGTTAGAACTTTAATGTTAGTGCAAGTAAATTTTTCATTTTTTTTAAGCAACAAATATTTACATTGTAATATATTCAACAAAAGATACTAATTTTTTAGGCATTGGAATTGATTATTTAAGTTACAAGGTCTACTTGAAATTCTTTTTGTTGAAATATTTCTTAAAATCTCAAATTATTCATATAGGATGTATTAAATCATGTTATTAATTGGTTGTTTTTGTTCTTCTTAAAAGTGCACATGCATGTACCTATTCCATGCCTCAACTAATATTCTTTCTATCAACTAGATATTGTCTACAAATGTTATAATTGATTTTTTTTATTATTATTTATAATTCCAAACACTAATACTATGTAAAAACATTATATACTAGCTAAAGCATAATATAAATTCGAGATATTTTTATACTCTTTGACTTCTCTTTCAATTATTTGCTTCTCACATATCTATTTGTCTTTCTATATGTATATATATTTATATCTATCTATCTATAGAAATAAAAATTGTTATTTACTACATGTGTCAATATATTACTTCTATTGGTGGCACATGCAAAGTATTGTTACACATGCAAAGTATATCCACTAGTCTACTAACCAAAAAACTCGTTTATTTCCTTAATGCATCTCTCATTTTAAAATCCATCCTTAGTAATTCCTCACAACATACACACACCCAAATAGAAGTCTTCTCTCCCTCTATCATTCTATACACAAAACATTGCATCATTCTTCTATATATTACTAAAACCAAAGTAAAATATAGAAATGTATGCATTCACAAAGGAAAACGTGAAAGTGCAAAATAGTGTAAGTTGCAAAGAAATGCTAGAAATGGGGGCCAAACCCTAAATCCTCCACAGGGGGGGGGGCAAACCCTAAATTGTTGAAGCGACATGGCAATGGTGGCCACAAGCTCATGCACTTAGGTGATCGTCGTCGTGTTCGTGTCCGTCGCTTGCTGCAGCTTGCGTCGCAACGGCATCGCACACACGCACGCACGCAGGGAGTGGGAATGGGAGCCCATGCGGGTTGCACTGTGGAGAGGGCGCTTGCGCTTCCTCTTCCTCTTCACTCCACGAATCCATCGCCTCAGTTTGTGCTTAACGGCCTGCAACCCACTCCTCCTGTTGTGTGCCGTATGCGACTGAATGCGCTTTTGAGATTCGAAACCGTCACCGCCAGGGAATCCCTTAGACCTCACCCTGCTTCGCACGGGTCCTGGTTTCACCTGGACCGGAGAAGGCCCACCGCGGCAGTGAAAAAGCGACTGACGTTTGTGCAGGGGCGGATTGTCTCGGTTTTCCAGGAGAGTTGAGAGGAGCGGTCCCTCTAGTGACCAAACAATTCCCTTCTCCCCCTGTACTAGTTTTGTTTTGTTTTGTTTTATATGTCTGTAAATCATTAAAACAAGATGAGAGACTGTTTTTATTGTACCCTCCAATGATCATGCGATGGATGTTGTTTGATTACTATAGTCAGACGCGTGCTTCTCCATGTCCCTTGGGATGCATGCTTCCTCGCTTCAGGGAATTTGTAGTTGGAAAACAGCATGCATTGGTTGGAAGTTCACTGAAGAAGGCGACGCGATTGTATCAGGGTCAGGTGCGGAATCAGCCCTGCTGACCGGGCAAGTAGCATACTGTTGTGGACAAAGGAATTTCTCAGTGGGGGAGGGGCCCAAGAATAGGAAAGATGTCCCGCTGTGCAACGAAAGATGCCAGATTCCAATCCCACGGCAGGCCCATTCCTCTTTCGCATACTCAGCCTTCGACGGCCTCATGACCTTCAGGTAAGGTCCCGATGGTCGTCGATCTGCCCTGTGCTCCCAGTTGAGCCCCATCAATTCCAAAAACAAAACAGAACATGAACTCGCAGTTGGTGAATAATCGGCAGAACTAAATGTCAAAGTCTTATATATATATACATATATATATATATATATATACTCATCCAAGGGTGAGTCTTTGAGCTAGAATCCGAGCACACAGGTTTTGTTTAAATCTTGCATGCAATAAAAACTCGAGGTCGTTAGCCGCGACAGGTTTCGTTGCACAGCGGGTTGATTCTGGGAAGCACAGGATCTTAACAGCTTGTATTTAGATTTCTTCGCACTTTCTGAACGAGAGGACACTCCATGAGGACAAGTCTGTCACGGAGACCTGTGGGTTTCGGTCTTGGTGACTCAGAAAATCAAGGAGTCCTACAGTAGGAGCAACACGCAAGGATGCAGATGGGACCAAGGATTGATGAGCTACTATTATCTTAATACGATGGAACATCGAAACTTAAGATTCGAAAGACAGCTGAATCTGTATAAAAGGGTCATGTGAGGTTGGCCATCATTTTCTTCGCAGCTGCTTTCCTCTTTGATCAAACGGTGCTCAAGCTCTCCACTCTCTTGAGCCTCTCTCAGCTCCTTCGGGTCATCTCTCCAACCCAGTACTCGACCATGTCTGGATGCGGAAGCCCCAACTGCGCAAACGGCAGCAGCTGCCCTTGCAGCGCTGGATGCGGGTAGGCCGACTTCTCTAACCGTAGATCAACACTGAACGAAGGCTTTTAGGGAAAGCTTCTATGGTCAAATATCAATTTTATGTTTCTGCTGTTCGAGTGATTCAACAGGCGTTTCACCGCATGGTCACCGTTAATGATGGTTTTCTACAGCTATGGTACCATTGCGCAAAACGTCAGTGAAAGAGTTTCAGAAGTCCTGCATTGTAGAAGTAATTTTTCATTGTACTAGTGGATTTCCGTAACTTTGATTGGAATTTCAACGTGCTTGCTAGTGACACTGTCGGAGGCCTGACATCAGCGGATACAAGGGAAAATGATGTCAGTGCCCGAGCACACAATATTTGCCATTATAGTGAGCATCTGGCTTTTTCGTTTGTTTGTTCTTTCCATCACGCAGATGCTGCAAGACCTTGGCTGAGCCAACCTTCGGAGGTCTACGCAAGTAAGATCGATCACTTTTCTACTGAGAATAAACTCTGTAGGAATTTTCCTTGGTTGAACAAGGAAAATAGCTATCATTCCGAGCCCGACTGCTGTGGCCCAAGCTGCAACTGTGACGATTGCACATGCCACCAGTAGACAGTCACTACAGTGGCTGGCCCTGACGCGTAACGCCTCCGCAGCATCCATGGAGGCCAAAATAAAACGAGGAGGATAATTCTACAGATTCTGATTTTCTCTCTTGTACCTCCACTGAAACTATCAAAATGCCAGAAATAAATAAATAAATAAAAGGAAAAGGAAAAGGAAAAAAAAAGTTGGAATTAGTCATTGTTTTTGATAGCAGAGACAATCAAGTGGAATCAATAATGTGCTTGGAATGGGAATGTTCAACTTCTGGGATGCAGCCATTGAACATCCTGCTTTTTGTTAGGATTTTAAATTGGCTGGATTCTCAAAATGGACAACTCCTGAATGTGTTGTGTACAACTACTGTGGACTTAAGTATTGAACGCTTGTCTAAATCGTTGCAAAAGAGCTGCCAGTTAGATGAATAAAACCAATTCCGTGGTTTGTACATGTTCATGTTTCAATAATGGATCCTTTGTGGACAGTTAGAACTATTGTCTCTACATTCTTTCAGTCTTCTCTCCCTTCGTTTCTCCCTTTCTTCTTCCTCTTATCTCTCTTTATTTCTTTATCCAAAAAATTGCTACTGGCAGCCGACTAACGTTGCCCGCTAACATGAAGCGGTCTTCCACTAGTACGATGATGGAAAACAATCTGCAATGATCGTGAGAATGTCTACAGCGTACAAGAGATTATCATCCTATCCTACAAACTACTTTATCAGCTCGTGTTCGGTATACTCTACAATGGGTGGCATTGGGTTGAGTGTAAATAGACGTATGATTTCAGATTTCCGAAATTGATAACAAGGTTCGAGACAACATTTAAAGACATCGCCGTTATGGCTTTGTGATGAGACGTGGCTAACACACCGTTCTGACCAGTGCTCTCATCCTACTCGAACATTTGCTTAGGGAAGACTACCCACTTGAAACAAAGTTGAAAAATGCTTACCTTCATTTCAAGTTCCACTTACAAAGAACAAGCTCTTTTTGTCTTACATTGTACAGTAGCGATCTCTGCATACCTGACTGAGTTACGCAGGCGCCAACTACTTTAAGGAGATTTTAAGAATATACAATGTCACTGCGGCATTTACCAGTAAGCACTTCGAGAACGAATCACAGGAGGCAGAAATTTAGAAAGGGACATCTGAATTTTCAATTTCAATTAAGGATGTATTATCGCCCTGATTCACGATGTTCATGTACTCGACCCTATTTACTGGTGATCGAGGTGGCGGATTCTGTGCACGACTTAGTGGGAGAGGGACGAGCCCTTGTCGTAGCTGCATGAGCTGGTGCACCACGTATGACATGCGTGGCCGACTTGCAGGCACATGCTGGGTACATGCGTAGACTAAGTCCACACAACACTGAATCTGAGCTACGTCAGGAATGGTCTGAATAGTAGGATCCAATAGCTCCAAAAACCTTTGGGCTTGGACAAGTGGAGTGGCCCACTCAAATGTGCTCTGCCAGTCGGAAGGTTCCGCGCCATCCACTGTTGGCTTACGTCCCGTGATGAGCTCCAGCAGTAACACCCCGTAGCTATACACATCGCTCTTGGTGGTGAGTTCGTTTCTGTACACAAATTCAGGGGCCAGATAGCCATATGTTCCGGCAATTACTGTGTGACCAACAGTAGCTTCACGCAATACCAGCCTGCTAAGGCCCACTCCTAGAATGTGAGCATCGAAATGTTCGTCCAGAAGGACATTGCTGGCACGCACATCCCTGTGAACCACATGTGGCTTCAATGTGTCGTGCAGATAGCTGTAATCCCACAAACACTATGATCAGACACTTAGCTTGGAATGAAGTCAGCATAAAACCTTGTCAAGGAAAAGAGAAGACGGCTTACGCAAGGCCCTGGGCAAGGGTTGTAGCAATGCGTATTCGTTGACCCCAATCCAATGCTTGAGCTTCCGAAGACTTGTTGTGCAACCATTGGTCAAGAGAACCGTTGGGAAAAAACTCATAAACAATGTACCCTTGACGATTCTCGTATGCACATCCTCTAACTGCCACCAAATTGAGTTGCTTAAGCCGAGCTATACGCAGCACATCATACACAAATTCCTTCTGTGATTGAAGTGGTGTCCGCTGTAACCTCTTGACTGCAACTGTAGTGCCATCTGCTAGTGTCCCCCTGTAAACACCCCCGTTCTCTTTCTGCCTACTGCCGAGCAAATTTGCTTCTGAAAAATACTCTGTCATTACCTCTAACTCCCTGATTGTGTACAACCTAAATGCAGGTCGCAGTAGCCCGCTAGAACTAGATAACTCTGCAAGCTTACGACGACGGGACCTACGCCGTCTTTTACTTCGCCTGTACGCCAAAAGAAATGCCACAATAGCTGTGGTAGTAACAGCAAGGATCGTGCATACTGATATCAATATGATAGTGTACTCTCTGTGAGAAGACTTCGGATCTTTACACTCCGACTCTGTGAATCAAGAAAAAAAAGTCTTAATTTTACATGCCTGTGCTATTTAACTTACAACACAAGTCTAAGCAGAAATGTAACAACAGATCACACCTCGTTGGACAATGATTGCTACCCGAATGCACCAGAGTCCTCAGTAGAAGCCCGATAGTGAAGAAACATTAACAGTGTCGATATCTCATTGAAGGCTACAAAGAAAAATCAGGATCGGGCAGTGCAAAAGATAAGCTGACCTTGTCCAATGGCGCAAAGAAACGAATGAGAGGAAGAGCATAAATCCCACTTGACCCCTGCCCTTGTGACAACAGTACACAGCCGAGGCGTTGCTGGGTCGGGACAAATCGGGGCCATGCAACTACTATTCGAAGGTGAAGGCACCCAGGGCAAATCAATGTAGTGAGAGGTATCGCAGTCACTCCATTTCCACTGAATGACGCTATTTTGATCCTGAGGGAGCTGACAAGCAGAAGTCACAAATTTAATGTAGGACTTCAATCCACAACGTTGCAGTAAGTCCGATAGACCACCGGCTGCTTACTAGACAATGTGACCCGACACTACACACGATGAAAAGAATAAAACCACGATTGAGTGAGCGTGATGTCTGAGCCATTGCCACAGGGTCCAATCGCGACAATTGTAGAATCTTTGCAGGGCGTTGAGATATACCACAAAAGCGAGAATTTGACTAGGTATCAGCTAAGCTCACCTCTTGGCCTCCGACCCAGCAGCCGTCTGCAGCACTGGCACCGCAGACAGCCTGGACGAAGTAAAACTCGTCGAGTGAATTCAATGATGCAAGATATCCCCCATTAGCTTTGCAAGCACTCTCTGATTCTGACCAGGAACTGTGATTCTTCATCAGAGAAAAGCATACAGTTTCATTCGATCCTGTCAGCCATCCAGGAGGGCAAGCTTCTGCCAAAAAGCAAATCTTAAGTTAACAAGAAACCCGGCAGCACGGCACTGACGAAATCAAGAAGTCTTCTTTACATTGAAAAGGACCAAGTCAAATGCAGTGAAGACAGCCAGCCCTTGAAGAAACTCACATGGTTACTTTCGAATGTGTAGGCCGTGACTTCAACGAGTAAGAAATTATACACTTCCTAAGCACTACAAGCTACATTCGGTAAAGGAAATACCAATGACAGGGCTTGACGCTTACCGCAACGCGAATCAGCAACACAATAGAAAAAACAGCACGCCAGCAGCAGGTACTGTACTCGTCCTGTGCCTGACAGGCATGCCTTCATGCCCTACCTACTTGCCAGAACACAAATACAGAATCAGCGTTTCACTAAGACACAACAGCTCCATTTCTTCATCTAAGTAGACTTTAAATCGAGAGCATCGACGCTCCCATCACACACTGAACATGACTGAACATGGCTGGCCTCTGAACCTTCCAAACCTCTACTTCAACTAAGCGAAGCGATCGCATGTGTGCTCAAAAAATGCATGCAAGGCATACAGACCACTAGATACTCTAGCTACTGAGACACAAGGTTCACGACCCGCGGATGACCATGGCCTAGTTCAATCCACCGTTACTACCAACTCAAATAGGGCAATTGCCATGACATAGTGGACTTGTGACCTCGCAGCTGGCACGCTGAAAGCCAGCTGAGGATACTATGTGGAAATTGCAATCTCGAATGCAAGTCAGAGAGCTGCCATGAAAACTAAGCACCCTCTACAGAGACCAAGGTTTAAAAAGAGGCAAAAAAATCTCAATTGCAGCATCAAATGACCACTTCAAACCGTCACGGCAAAATCGCCAAACGGGAGATACACAGACCACTGAAGCAGCCAGCATCGTGATCAGCCCTTGACAGCCGACAACGGTGCTCCCCACACCCAACCACTACTCCACCATGTCAACGAAAGTTAACTGGAAAAAGTTGTTGGAATCACTCACAGGTGAAGAAAGCACCGGGCAGTACTAAGTGAGGAGAACAAATTCCTGCTTTCTGCAAACACACCCCTCTCATTCACGCACTCCTCCTCCGCATCCAAGGACCTCCCACACATCCCAAAATTCGCAAAAGTTAGGCATCCAGATCCACCATCGCGTAGCAGCAGCCCAGTTCTCTGATCTCCTTTCTCTACCGTTGGTGCACGGCAGCAACATTCCACCCAGCCTGCCCGGACGCCATAGCCGAGCCCCACCACCACAGCACTACGACACGCTAGCTCCCCAGATGCTTCCAAGGAAAAAATGGCTTCGCAGTATCGTGCCTGCGCGACTCCTTGATTCAAGGAGAGAGACGATGGGCAGGGAACGGCCCGAGGGAACGCGAGAAAACGGCACTGTGGCGACGACGTTGCACACGAGCCACCAACGGACAGACGCGCAGGAACGGACGATTTTCCTTGCCTGCCTGAGAGCGGTAGTTTAAATTGGGCATGGGCTGCTCCAGACAAAGGACGGCGAACCCGGAATGGTATTGATTGGGGGGGGGGAGGAAAAAAAAAGGAGAATGGGAGTGCTGCTTGTATTGCCACGCGGACGCTCTTCTTCATTAATCCTCTCTTGCTCACTTACTGCCCTCTCACGTCGCTTCAGGGGTTTTGATCCTCGGAAGACAGGACACACCACAGTGTGTGCGTTGAAGTTTCGTCAATTACTGGGTTCTCTTATTCTTCTTCCCTCTTTCAATTGCGAGTTTTCGCATGACTCACCCACGATGTCCACCGCATGAGGGAGACGCTGCGGAGAATGTTCATCGCTGATCACCCCAGGTCGTCGAAATCACCGCGATTTCTTAAAAACCCTGGCGGCTTTATTTTGGAAAACCCAAAAGAGCATCTCTTCATTTAAGGTAATGGCTCGTTTTACGACGCAACTAACGTTGACAGGCGCCTCACCCACATTACTATGGGTGAGAAATAACTCATGTGTGGTCATTAAGATATTAAAGGTTATGGGCTGCACATCATCAGCTCATAACTCCTCAATCACGGTTAATCAACCAAAAACCAGGGCCTGGTATGGATTTAATTAAGTGACGGGGGGGGCTGCCCCGCTCTCACGCTAGCTCATCACTGTTCGTACCCAGGGCCTTTCCCTACTTTCCCTTCCGTTCCTCTCCCTATCCGCAAGTTTCCGATGGGCCACTAATTTATGAATCAACGACACCTGCAGTCGTTAAAGACTCTCCACACGGAGCATATTCTTCGCTCCAATCTTCTGCAGATTTAACCCCAGTTGCATGCACGTGCCATTCCTACCGCAGGCGACACTAACTCCATATTTCGGGAATAGCTCTCCATATGTTTTTGCAGCACAGCAAAGGATTCCAGGAGGCGATATAAGACCAATCTCGTCACGTCGTCTGATGGGTGTGCTGTTGTGCTGTTCCATGGAGCTAGCCAGCTAGCCAGTGTCCACAGTGAGCTACTTAACAACACCATGGGATATTGATCCCGCAAGCTGTAAATCAGCTGCTTAATGAGAATCTACGGTGCGTAATTTGCAGCTTCTTTTCTCTTTTCTATTCTGTTTTTCTTTTTTCTTTTTTCTTTCTGGCATGCGACTGTTCCGACTATTGTGTGAGTGTTTGTGTGTGTGTGTGTGTGTGTGCATGAATTGGTGAATTGGTGCTCGAACGTGCCTCCGCGTGACAAAGCCTCGCTTCCTCCCACACCACACCATGGCACCGCTGTCCCCATGATCACCGCTTTTCGTCACCTTCGTCGTCGTTGTCGTCGTCGTCGTCGTCGTCTTTTCGTCTTTTTCGTCGTCGTTGTCGTATGCATGGTGAAGGCGTTCACTAGAAACCTCATTCACGTTCGAGTGAGGCGAACGCCGTTGTTTTTCTAAGCAACCATAGGATAGTAGAAGAATTGGTAATTGATTAATTAATTAATTAATTGGTATTTGGTGCTGTGGGTTTAATTAATTCAGTAACCGCCGTGAACTATGAACGTGATGACATTTACCATGAAAAATTGCCATATATTTTAAATATCAAGATTTACGTGGGAAAATGGTACCGCAGAGGGGATAATAATATATAAACAAATAAAAATATTTATATATTATTCTGACGTATAGAAAAAAATAAACGTTAAAAAGCACCATATGAGGTAGATGAAGTGTGAAGTATTAGAGTGCACTTACAATGTTCAAATAATGAAGCATTTTAATCTTCTCAAATTCTCTATAATTTAGCAATAAATCTGTACATATCTGCATGATCAACCCCTCTATCCCAACAAATACACTTTTTTCATGTATTCTGTCGATGTGAGGACAATAAGAGCTCTGCCAGATTATCACAGTAACAGTCTTATTATTGTGATGGGACACTTAAGTCTGATAAAAGGAAAAATCAAATAAATATATAAATAAATGTGTAAGAACATTAAAGCATCACTAATGCTTATGAGGCCTATAATATAAACAGTAAACCAATTAAAAAACTAAAATGTTAGGTTTTGATACATATGATATTTTCAGTTTATTTATTTATTTATTCATTACAGTATGGTTCTTAATACCATTGGTTGTACAATCACATATGTGAGTGTATATACATACGTATATAAATATGTATATTCGTATATGTTTTGTTGACATATTTACAGTCTTAGCATAAACTTATTCTGAAATTGGATTAATATTACCAAATACTCACAAGTAAACCGAGATAATAGCAATAACAATTGCATTAGAAACAAGTATCAATCTAATTGGAAAAGAATTGTAAATATTTAAAGCTGTATTACTAAGAAAACAAAGGAAAGCCATTGCACTTTAGTATTAATCAACATGCAGAGTTGAAGTGACAAACAACATCACATTTTTTTTTACATGTTTAACACATGTTCTGAATTGATTAATTTGTTTTTGTTCATTTACACCATATGAACTTGTGACGTAAAATAGAACTTCTTTCTGTATGACATTAAATCATAATATGAGAGAATGGTTCATTTTGTAGAATTCATGTCCACTGTAACCCATATATATGAATATATATATATATATATATATATATTCTCCTCAGAAAGAGTATTTACATACTTGGAGGATTATTTGAAATTACTACACAATATACCCAAATGACTTTGTAAAACGATGAAATATGAAAATAATAATAAATAAAATCAAAAATCACATGCATATTAATTGATTCATTTATTTACACACAACCATCCTCATGAATGATTTCAAACTTATCCAAACACCCAACAAATGTCATTAATGCTATTTTCTCATGATAGAAAAACCTCATTAAGAAGTCTGTGGAGTTTTCACATCAAGCTTGTAAGTGAGGGAGTACAGCAAACATTAACACCAACCTCATTCATTTATTCTTTCATTCATTAAAAAATGAATAAGATAAACGAATAAACAAAAAACACATAAATGTAATAGAAAGAAATCAACACTTAAAAGAAAGTAACCAACACTCAATCCGTTCCCAAGCTATGTTCCCTGCTTATTAGTGTGGCCTAACTGTACTAGATTAATTAATTAATTATTTTCACCAAAGAGCTTGTGATTTCATGTATTGGTGCAACATTTCCATTGTAACATTAAAATTAGTGTAGAGAAGAAAATAGTGTGTCCACGCCAATCAGAAGAAAAATAATTTGGTGTGAACAGAACCCGCTAGCACGGTCATACACGTTCCGGAGTCCAGCTCACCCTTTTATTATTGGTCCGGTCTGTCCACGTGGACATCCTTTTCCCGCGTTATTCGGCGCCATCTCCACCATCCGATTTTTCCTAATCGGCCGACTCCGTTCCGCCGCGTCGATGTATACCGTCGGATTGAAAAGCGATTTATCTGAGCCGTCCAATGACGACACCTTTGACGGGCGCTAATGAAGCCTCCAGCATGGGAGGTGGCACGCCTTTGAGACGGAGGCCGTTGGATGACGCTCAAGCCAGATCTGGACGGTCTCCAAGGGGTTGCGTGCAATACTAAAGAAGTCGTCTAGTGGGCCACATGTCTACCAGCTAGAATTTCAGTCTGCCACGTCAACTGCTGAGTAGGACGGTGGCAATGATTGAGGCCAGTTTTCAAACAAGAGGACAGGGTGGGATAACGGGTACAGGTGCCCTGTGAATAGTAAACCGTTACTTTTTCGAAAAAGTTGATGGGTTCCTTTTTCTGGTTTCTAACTTTTGCTTTGGCAGAAAAAGTGTTAAAAAAAGTTGTGATTACTTGGTACTTCCTTTGGAAAAAGCCACTCGTTGTTCTAATTCTTTTTTGAATGGTTGTTAGCCAAATTGAATGTGATTGACATGGAATAGAAATATTAAATAATTAGATTAAATCAAGAGCACGATTGCTTTGGCAATGTTGAGGACATTTACTTTTAAATACTTTATTTAGACCTTAAAAAGTTTGTTCAATGGGTTAATCCAAATTTGTATAGAATTATATTCTTTTTTCTTTGTTTCTTTTCTAACATTATGATAATAATACTAATTCTAGATTCTAGCATTAACTATTTCATTGATAAAGTTATTTTCATTTTTATGCTTTGATGCCAATAGTTATCAATGAATCACTTGCATGTAAATTTTATAGCGGGAAAACCAATCAATGATACAATTGAAATAAAGTCATGGGTCTTTAAGGTTTTTCTAGTATTTTTGGTATTTAATAAAACTAAAGTTATAAATTACACATGATTTTACAACTGTGTTTTTTTGTATTAGTTTTAAATATATCTTTGATTTAATTTGAAGAGTTTGGTTAACTTGATGTGATTCTTGCCAAACATTTGCTTTCAATGTAGAATATGACATGTCACATCAAGTTGTGTAAAGTTTCAACCTATAGCTTTTGATAGAAGCACAAGAATAAATTATAAATTTAATTCAAAAAAAATTTGCATTTAAAAAAATTTACAATTGTTATTACTTGAAAATCCATATAATTTTAAAACCATAGAACATAGATTTATCATTATTATTTTCTAATCTAAAATTCAAGTATTTGTTACTTTACAAGATACAAGTGTGATAATTTGCTTTCCATTCATAGCATGACTTAAAACAACATTCAACAAAATAGTTGCAAGGGAGCAATGGCA